CCAGATGTTTGACAACAGCAAGGAAAATGAGATGGAGACGTGGGAAGCCAGCAGACGGTGGCTGGACCAGATAGCGAATGCTGGTGTCCTTTTTCACTTTCAGTCTCTGCTGTCACCAAACTTGGTAAGGAATCACAGTGCCTCCCACTGCCTGTGTCACCTGTATCCCACTGTTGTAACATATTCCCAAATCAGAAGTGGTTATTCATCATTGTACTAGCTACTTTAAAAGAATATGTTTTTTCATAGGCAAATTGAGTTTTAATAGGTATGTAGAAGGCATTCCTTCTTTCCTTACTTTTTCTATTCTCAGTGGCTGCTAAAAGCCGAGAAAGCCTCCATCTGTTATTAATTCCTTTATCCCTAAGCTCTGACTGAGAAAGCTGAGGAGTGAGGGGCTTCCTGCTAAGGTTCCCGATTTCCAGCCCAGAAGAAACAGCCTGCCATGAAACCCAAACTCCCACTGAGGTTGATTTTCTGCAGCTTTCTTTATTTGAGAGCTCTGACAACTTGCACGTCAGACCCTCTGGCAATCTGTTTAAAATTTGCATGTGTTAAGTGATTTTATTTCCTTCTTTTGCATGCACATTTGCCCTGTTAAACTTAAGAACATTGCCTTAATTACTGTAGAATTGTTCATGTTTATGTACCAGTTTTCCACAGCGAGTATGAAGAAAGCATCTCGAAATAGTGGGTTGTCGGGAAAGGCTTGACGTATTTTTTTCTATGTTTTTCGTCACAGAAATGTGTCATGACTTTTCCGACAACCCAATAGTTGATCAATAATATTGTGGTAAGCTTAGAGTTTCCCCCATATACTTTTTGTGGTTCTGATAGTTGTCATGATGTTTTAAGGCAAATAGGTTTATTTTATATATAAACTTAAGGTACTAGGTAAATAGAATTGTAATTTGAAACATGACAGGCTATTTCATCTGTTAAGTAGACAGAAAATGTAGCTACCAAGTAACATGGTTGAGAAAACAAATGTGTGTGAGTTTATACATCAAAATAATGGTTTTCTTCAATGCCATTGAGGACAGGGAGGTAATCATTGTACTGCACAGTCATAGAAGGCTCTAGAATGATTAGGTAAGGAAAACTGCATCAGTGTACTTCAGAGAACTGATTAGATTCTTTGGAAAAGATTCCATCACCCTGTGGGTGAGTAATTTCTTATTTGGTTGCTTATAACCAAATAAGAATTAATTAATGAAAAAATTTGAAATAAGGTACTTTTGGAAAAGTAGTTGAAAAATAAATGTTAAGTAATTATTGCCTATCAAATAGAAATTACATAAGATAGGAAGCCCACTTCTGAATACGTGGTAGGCATTAAATGTTTGTTGAATGAATGAATGAATGAGGCTTCATTTCTATTATATTCTTACTTTAAAACTGCCATTGTCTAATCAGGTGCTGGGACTTTAAACTTAATTTTATTTGAAATCCCAAAGAATGGGAGAAAATATGTGTAATTCATAGATCTGCTAAGTGACTTATATCTAGACTATATAATGAATCCTTAAAACTAAACAATAAAAAGACAGCTCAGTTAAAAAGTGGGCAAAGGATTTGAATAGATGTTTCTCTAGAGAATATATAAAATGGCCAAAAAGCGCATGAGAAGATGATCAACATCTTTAGCCGTTGGGGAAATGCAACTCTAAACTGCCATGAGATACTGTGTTACCTGGGATGTGGATGGCTGTCATCCAAATACAGTGAATCACACTGTGGTGAGCTGGTGGGCATGTAGACTAGTCGAGCCNTGTGGTGGCAGAAACAAGTGCACAAAACTCTCTGAAACAGAGGGGAAATGTCAGAGGGGAGATAATATTTTAAAGAGTCTTAATAGTTCCATGAGTTGACTCTTGACCAACATTTAAAGTTGATGGACGGTGAGGAGAAAAGCCCACAGCCACAGGGCCCATGAGTAAACGTGTGGGCTGTACGAGCGTTTATAAGGGCACTTCCGGTGTGAGTCATGCTGAGCCGTGCTGTGTGGCTCAGAGAGGACTGTGCAGCCAGTGTTCTGGCTGCTTTCAGATACACTGCTTGATTTTGTTCTCACAACAGTCTTGTGAAGGTGCCTTGGATGGAGGAAAGTTATGTGTTGAGAAGCTGTGAACGTAAGCTGGGGATGGATAGGAAAGCCCCCTTCTGCCACTCTGAGTTTTCTACCTTTGTCACTCACTGTGAGATGATCATGGTACCGTGCTAAGGTCCGGCTGCCTGCCCCTTGTAAAAGTTAAAAATCGAGAGACAAGGCTGGTGGAAAGAAAAGCACGTTTATTCCGAATGCCTGCGTTCTGGGAGGATGGTGGACTCCTGTCCAAAGGTCATCTTCTGAATGGCAGAAGGTTTTGTAGATACAGTAAGATGAAGAACAAAGGAAAGGAGGAGTCAGTGGGTCAAGCAGGTCCTAAGGCTGACATGGCTTCCTGGGGTCTGCTCTGTTTTAAGATACTGTTATCTGGGGACTTGGGACTCAGCCACCCCAGGCTGGGGCTTTATTCATCACCAGTAAAAACTGCAAGGGGAGTTGCAAATTAGATTCCAGTGTCTGGGCGCCTGAGGATTAACAAATTGTTCTTTTCAGGTAGGATTTTTGTTGATTAAATGGATTAACGAGATATGGGTAGCCTTGAGAAAAAGAACAAAACAGAGTTTTAAAGTTACTTAGTGAGGTAAGAAACAAAGAGAACAGCTGAATATCAGGATGGATCTAACTGCAAAGTAAGTCTAACTTGACAGGTGGCTAGATAGCAATCTAAGTGGTGAGTCAAACTGCAAAGGAGCTAAATCTAACTGCATTATTGATTTGCCGAATTCCACCCTTTCAATAACACATCAAAAGTCACTTGAAAAGTTCTTAATATATGATGTGCATTTTGAAGTCTGTGCAAACTAGAGTCTTGAAAATAGGAAGGTGGCAATTGAAAATCCCTTATGATGTAATAAGCATTTATTAAGGGTTTTTCATTTGCAAATATGTTGGTTTAACATTTAAATGGCAGTGTGGTTCAAGGGCACCTTTACATATCTACTCTGTAGATCTCTTGTGAGCAAAGACATGGCCGAGGTCTCCCTTGGCCTGCTTCATATCCCCAGTAATTTGTGCAATGTTTAATTCCCAGGGGCATTCTGTGTTAAAGTTCGAATTAATGAACAAATGCAACTCTTGGGTGATCAGTTCTGATTTGATGATGAGGTTGAATGAAAATTTTATTTTGGCTTAAAACGCATGGAGAATTTAGTAGCAGAAAGTAGAAAAGATATGCAAGTGCATTTTTTTTAATGTAAAAAAAAAGAAATTTGAAAATTTCTTCTCAAAAGCAATTTGTAGGTAATTATTTCTGCCATGGGCACAGTCATTAACCCTTGTGATCCCTTCTAAGGCTCGCAGTGTAACCAGATCCTTTCTTCTCTAGACCTTAGCTTTCTACTCTTGATACAAGCAAGTTCTTTCCAATTAGATTTTTATTAGGAAATTGTGCTCATATTATAGGTGGGAGTATTCCTGCCAAAGCTACTGAAGTATTTTTAGAACTTTCTCCAGGTTTTCTGCTTCACTACGGAACAATGGAAAAGCAAAGCAAGAATGTACAA